CGAGACTCTAAATTGACTGGATTCCAAATCCTTCTGATTCGGTACCAGTTGGCCCAATCTGGCCTTACCAATCACCTCAGACTGTCCAAAAACTCCACCCTATGAAATTTACCCAAAACCGCCTTTATTTGTCCCTTCATCACACTAGGATTCCACTTTAAATCCCTAGATTCACCGATCTAAAATCTTTCTAGATCTTCCTGCTTCAGGCCCATTTGGTCCAATCCAACCCCACCAATCAACTTAGAATATCCGAAAACCCCACCAAATCAAATTTCAACCAAAAATACCCCTGTTTGTACCCAAACCCATCTTGACCCTTCAAATTTTGACATAAAATCCTAGCCATCCATCCAGGAACCCCCGGTCTAATCCCCTTAGACTTAGTTGAACAAAAAATACCCCAGTTTCTCAAAATTACAAAAATATCCCTCAAAACATAAAATAAATAAAATGCCCCTACCCCATTATAAAAGCTAATCTAGAATTCTCATTCAACCTAATTCGAGAGAGCTCATTGTTCATCCCCTTCTTCGTATGACCACGATGATATCCTCCCCACCTTTGGCTCCTCACTGTTCATCTTCATCTTCCCTATGACCAAACTGAACCAACAACGGTAACTCTTTATCTCCTCTGGCCTCTCTCACTTTCTTCCTTGTATTTCTCTCTTCCCCTCTCTCCCTCTCTTCCATCGTTCTCTCTCTTCTCTTTTCTCTCCGTTAGCTATCTTTCTCAACGAGCAACATAGGAGTTGCAGCGACAATCCCCTCCATATTTCTCATTTTGTTAACCCATTTTGAGCATGAAATTGGCCAATTCCCAACTCTATTCTTATCTCCCCATCGTTTTCCATTAACATTCCATTGTTTTTCAGCTCTCCAAACCATATGATGATTCCCTGTTCTTAGTCCTATGAAGCATCTATTACCTGGGGTCATTTCCTTGTCAGTTCCATGTAAAGTTTACGTTTAAGACATTATTTCATATCATCAACTTCTTGGCCACCAACATCGATTGTTGCGGTAGCTCGAAGGAAGAGATCAAGTGTGATAGTAACTCAGCTCCCTTGTTCATCGTACGGTTTCAGGCCAAGATTTTTTAGACAAAGGAGGTGTACCTGAAGCTATAGTGAGCTGGATGTTGGGAAATGGGGTCACTGAAACTTGGAGGAGAAGCTCTGAGGCGCGTTTGAAGACATTGTTTTTAAAGCGTTATTTGCCCCCACTCAGTTTCACTGAGTTTGCTGTTGGGTTATAGGCAAATCAATTCCCATGATACAACAAATCCTTGGGCAAGAATCTACAACCAGCAAAGTTGAAGAGTCTCCGAAGAAACCTTCTGTGAGACTATAGCATACCGGATTGAGAAAGAAAGAGAAAGTGATTTTCGAAAATATTGTGTGTGAAATGCTTGATTCATGCTCTTTAAATATTTTCTGAAGAGTTATGAAGAAAAGGAAGGTGCTGGTTCAAAGAAAGGCACATTGAACAGTCACAATTTCAAACATTGTGACTATTTAAAAGGTAGTTAACAGTTAATGACTGTTAACTTTGAATTGTGTCTCTTGATCAAAGTACGAGCAAAGTGCACCTCTAAAGCGCCTCATTGTGCCACACACATGCGTGCGCATGTGTTGCGCAGTGGCAAACCTCCATACTCTCCACTTCTATTTCTAAGGAGTGTAAATCAGCTCCTATTAAAAAACTCAAAACAAAACTTGTAATTTTCCAATGTGGGACAAGTTAAAACAGGTTTTAGTGAGAGAAAAGCTATTTTTTCAAAACAAGTGTGCAGGTGTAATTTCTCATGTAATTGACTAATCAAACCCATTGGATTCAATCTTTAGTGAGATTAAAATTCAACACTGGATCTCCTCTATTTTCTTTTGTTCTTTACATTCAAAGTGGATGAAGAAGAGTCATAGCCACCATCGCCTAAACTCCCACATACGTTTTCTTGTTCTTCGCCCTTCCACAGTTGGTCAAGACTTCTCGCAGGTAAATCTCTTACCTGAACTGTATTCTCTCAGTAGCTACTTTTGTAGTGAAGAGTTGAGGCTGAAGAGTATATCGATGGAGTAAGTTCCATCAGAATTGTTCCCGTAGATCATATCATCAACTCAATCCGACCTGAAATCTAATGTACTCTCATTTTTAGTTAGGCTTGAATACAACATGTTAGGGATTAGTTTACAGCTAATATTCTCTTTCTTCTTTGTTTGTCTCTGATATTAATATTGGTATGGATGTGGTTGCTAGTTCCGTCTATTTTCAATTTCAGTTTGCTTGTTCTAGAGGTTAGTTTGTACGACACCGATTAGTCAAATCTGTTTAGCCGCATCGGTTAAAGTTCTTACCAGTAGAATCCTTAGGACAACGATCAGTCTTTTACTTGCATTTCTTCTTAGTTTTTATGTATTTTTAGGGTAAATTATAAAGACTCCCCTATACTTTGTTTTGCAACAAAGACCTCCCGTACTATGACCGTGAGACAAAGACCCCCCCTTCACCGTTCAGTCGGCTAACAGAACATGTCATTTGACAAAAATACCCTCCACAAGTCGATTTAATATTTTCAAAGTATCGAAAATAGACACCCACCGAAAACCAGCATGTAAAATCCTGCCTAAAACCCTAAACAATACCTGAAACCCAGTCGAAACCCCTCGTGCAATCCATCCCAATGTCCATTCTCTATCAGAGATCGCACCAATGCCACACCAAGAGGAAAGCGAGTATCATCGTCACCGGAAAAAAAGATCTTGTCATCATTGCCGGAGAAGATCTATTTAATGGAGAAGAAGGCCTTTTTTCGCTATCGCAAGGGGAGCAATCAATACATGCACTGTCATCACTCACCGTAGCCATAGCCGAAGCAACACTATGTGGGGCCTTGCCCATAGCCGAAGCACTATCATCACTTACCGTAGGTCTGTGTGGGTAGCACTACGCTAATCTGCCTCCATCTTCTGTCAGCAGCCTTTAATCATAAAAACCTTCCATTTAATTTCATTTTAATAAAACCTCCCTTAAATTCTTAAAAATTCAACAAAAAACTCCCTTTTATCATTGATTAAACAGAAAACGTATAAAATTACAAAACTATCCCTAATTAATCGTCAGGGCATCCTATATACGAAAGGAATTCAAGAAAAAGGGAATGGGGTACCTTCTTTTGTCGATGATACACTTGTAAACCTAGAAAGAAGAAAGAAGAACACGAGCCTGTCCATTAAACATCAACAACCATAGTCCAATAAACAAGGAAAAAAGTAGGAAATTAAAGAAAACTAATTCGATATATACCAGTACTAAACTGATGGAATCAAACCTCATCCAATTTTTGTCTCCAAAAGAGAAATTGTAATCAATAAGCCAAAGTTTGAAGTAGATGGCGATCCCCATAAACAGAAGCAACACCAAGCCAATAAAGATGGGGCCTTTCACATACACGGCCATTGGTTATTTGTCTGCTTGTCTATCTATTGTCTCTCGTTTGCTCGTTCGCTCATAAACTCAGAAAGAATCACATGAGAGTCCATGCATCTTAGGCTTCACCCAGCCCCAAGTGAATGGGAAACTATAGATTACAGACTAGTGGTGCAATTAAAGAGACAGAGAGGAGTAAGAGCTTCTATTCAGGAAGTGAAATTGAAAATGGCATGTAAACTGTAATGGGCAAGCCCTGAATTGAGAAAGAATTTTGACCTAATCGACACTCAATACGTGTGTTTAAAAGAGCACCTTTGTTACTTTCAGGAAGATGAACGAATGGTAAAGGGCATTTTTTCAACTTATCATCCAAAATGCAGCATTGGTCGGACTCTTCCTCTTTGGCTTTTCAAAACCTCGGAACGCAAATCCTATGATAGGCTTTTTATCCTTGTATTGAAATAAAAGAACTTCAGAGAATATTTAAATTATAATATATTATATATTTTAATATATTATTTATATTATATCATAATTTTTTATTATAATTCTAATCAAATCAGATTCGAATTGGATATATAATAAAATATTTAAATTTAAAAATCCGACAATTTCTTATCGGATCGGATTGAATATATCCTTTACCAAACCAAATCCGATCCGTTTGCAGGTATAACGCAGCATGTATTTACATCTCAAGAGATGTGGCTTAAAGTAAAAGATAAACGGTGTGCAGTATAATCAATGATGCATGCAATTTTGGCTCCTCCATAAATTAATTTTTGGTGGCTGATATTCATTAAGATTGCCATGCATACTGCAATATTTCGAGATCCTGTAGGTGAATATAAATGAGAGGGGTGTAAAAATTAAGCCTGCCGGAAGCTGGCCGATTCGAATTTATTGAATTGTCATTTTCTTGGGTCATATATATTATACCGTGTAGACAATAAAGTTCTAGATAAAGTCAAAATCTAATCAATCACCTCTAATACTTTCATGTGAGTTGTATATTGGTTGGTGGTTCATGTATTTATATTATTTTATTTTTTTAAGCCCCTATTTTTTGGGTGAATTATTTATTTGGGTAAATGTATTTATCGGGTAAGAAAAATACTTAAGTGAGTAAGTGAATTATCCACGTTTTTTTATTTCCTATGTAAATAAGGCAATGACTATTTTAACTATAAAAATCTATTATTAAAAGAGGTATTTTTGTTCCATTATTTATTGACAATTTTTCTCTTATGTGGAAAAATTTTTATAATCAATCTTACAGGTTAAAAGAATGAATTGTAAAACTCTATTAATTCTAATTTAGTATTTCATTATTCATCTTAGATATAAGTTTGATAAAAGAAAAACTAAACTACTAGTCTAGCTCTCCTCTATGACATTAGAAATGTAGATGAAGTTTATTAATTTACTTATACAGGGAGCTCTTTTCATGTGACATCTACAATTTCCTTCCTGAGAGACAATTTGGATTGAGATATATACGAAAAGTTTTCTTTTTTTTTGTTTTTGCTTTTTATTGTAAACAACAATACAATAAGATCTTTAATTACTAAAGGATAAGATTATAATAGATGAAAGATCACTCTGATGTGGGCTTTTATTAATAATGAAAGAGGTTGGGTGTCTATGGGACCTTAGAAGGTCATAAGAAACTGATAGAGCAAGGGTGGTACGTAATATACTGTGTCATGTGTGAAACTGACGGCAAACTATAGAGAAACTCACTGGTTTCTTAATTCTTTGCTAGTTGTCTGCTGCTCACAAAGAGAAGATTGATCTGTCACTTGCCAAATGGCTACCTCTGTTGGGCAAAGAAGTTCAGAGGGCTGTAGGAGGATTCTAGGCCGAATACTTTTGATGGCCACATGCACTTAGCTCTTCAATGAGCTCACTTAACCGCTCATAGGATGACCCACCTTGCTGTACTGCTCTCATGGCCAGTCGGCCTAATGCTTGTGCCCTCTTTCTGGCACTCCTCCCTCTCTCTCCTCCCATCAGCTCCCTCACGACTTGGCTAATTGTCTCTCTCTCAACTATGTTCTCTGGCCCTAATTGGGTCCTGCTCGCAACCCTAAAACCTGCTCGCAGCCCCTCCACTACAAACTTAGCGTTCAGTGACTGCTCGGCCATCATTGGCCATGCTAAGATTGGGACACCGGCTGACATGCTCTCTAGGACGGAATTCCAACCGCAGTGGCTCAAGAAGCCACCAGTCGAAGGGTGTGTCAAGATGCGCCACTGGTCCACCCAATCCCTTATGATCACACCTCTTCCTTTCACTCTTTCCTCCATTCCATCAGGTGGAGACCATGTCATGGATCTGACGACCCATATGAAAGAACATCCGGACATCTCCAACCCAAAAGCTATCTCATCCAACTGAGAATTTGACACATCAGCTTGGGTCCCAAATGCAGCGTAGATCACTGAGGATGGCGTGGCTTGTTCCGTCAGCCAGTTTATACATGTGGCAGACTGCTGCTGCTGGTCCATGGACCTTACTAAGCCCTCCATCTTGTCATAGAGAATAAGGGGACCAACACACCAGGCCTTGGCCCCATTGGTATAGAAAGACTCCAGAGATGCCACGTGGCTACTTTCCATCTCGACAAAGCTGTTAACAATCACACCCCAGCTCGCAACGTCGGCTGCTCCGACCTCAATCGCGGCCTGTGTGAGTGGATCGTCCTGGTTCACAAGCGTCTCTGGCAAGTCCGCTCTTGTCAGCCTGAAAGGCAGCTGCAAACCGGGCATGTGCAAAGGTTCGGAGTCTGTTGCCACCAACAGGTGTGGTGAATGCACGCAAACTGTTTTACAGATTGCCATTGGCAATACTCCCATCCCATGGAAGACCAGCCGAGGGACACCAAATGCTCGACATGAATCGAGTGTCCAGCCCAAGAAAAAATCAGAGATGACACATGTGGGAAGGTTTCTAGCTTCGGACATTTGTTGCAACACTTGTTGGAAGGGTTTTTGGAGCTGTTTGGTGGCGTTCAAGAAAGGGATGTAGAAGTCCATGGATGGTAACCGGGCGGTGTTTTCACAGCCTTTGGGGAG